CCATGCAAGACAGGGAAGCCCTGGACTGAATGCCTTCCCCTAGCACTCTTTTCTATGAGATTCACCCCCAATTCCAGACATGGTCTATCCTCTTTTGAGATCCTGTTTGGATGTGCCCCAAAGACAGGCCTCTACTTTCCCCAGACCCTCCAGATGCAGCATGGTAGTATGACTGCCTATATACAGGCCCTACACCAAAGATTAGGCAGGGTGCATAAACAAGTCTTTGATTCCAATACAGATCCAGACTCTGATTCTGCAACTCACAAACTGCAGCCTGGGAATTGGGTGGGGATAAAGAGGCATGTGAGGAAAGGACTTGAACCACTCTTTGACGGTCCATTCCAACTGCTCCTGACTACGGCTACCTCAGTGAAACTAAAAGGAAAAGCCACGTGGATACACACCAGTCACTGTGAACAAGTCACAACGACTCATCCACCGAAGCTGTTCTTATCCTTTACCATTGTATGCTCTGTTCAGATATGCTACTCTGACTTGAAACCAGAAGATAATAATGCATAGCAGGGAAATATATGGATTCAGATAACAAAGGCTTTTATTTTAACCTCCTTTTGCCTCAACCCTCTCCTCAGTAATGAAAACGCCATACAATTTTGTCTTATAGCTGTCCCTACTCCCATCTCACTCTTGAGGAAGTACCATAGACTCCATAAAACTCTACAACTATGCAAGCCCCCCTAGCCCTGAAGACAATTAATGTTACAGCCGCTGAACTATGTTGGTCTTTTTCTTGTAATTGTTCAAGAGACCCTAATACTGAATCCCTGTTTTGCCCCACATGGTGGAAAAATACCATGAATTGTAGAGTCCTGAGCACCACTATGAAATGTACCAAAACTCACCAAGTTATGAATTACCACCACCATGTCTATCTCCCTAAAGGATGGACTTTCTCCTGTGGAAATATTACTTATGCTTATGTCCCAGGTAACATTAAAGGAGGTCCCTGTGCAATCTCACGCCTAACCATGACCATGTTTTCCAAATCTGACCTGATCTCTGAAACCACCCAGATACACAAACCGCAGAGAATCGAACCGAAATGGATTGCACATGTCTACTGAAGGAAAGGGAGTCTCTGGTGGTGATCCAGTGGTGATCCACCACATTTGATAAAATTGAATTAATACCTGGTACAATAGGGCGACCAGGGGAATTTTTTTCATCGTTGTGGATTTTAGGTAAAAAGTAGATGACTGCATAATAGGGTGGGTAGTATTCATATACATATGTTAATTTTTGTTAATAATCTGTTGTTCCAGTCCTTTGTTTAAAAATATGTTTAAAATATTTTTAATATCAGGGGTAGGGTTGCATATAAGCTTTTTATACATAGAGATATCAATATGTTTGGAAAGAATGTTTTCAAATGTTTCTAGGCTGCTGGATTTGAAATTTTGAGGGTAAAACATAGAAGTCGGTTTGCAATTCGTATATATTTCATGTATGCAATCAAGAGGAGGTTTAGGATTATTAGCTGTATTGTGATTAGTCTGATTAGTGTAAACCCTCTTAAGAGTGGTGTGATGGAGCTGGGTACCTTCACCAAGCTTGCTTCCTAGCAGCCATAGGGGAAAACCTGGAATTCTTCTGTCCCAGTCACCTCAGCTTTCCGCCATGGATCAGGATACAGTGATAGTTGTATAGCAGTCTCACCCAAACACTAGCTGAGACTTATTGAAGGGTGAAGTAGAACTAACTTTATTGAACCACAGCACACATATATATATAAGAGTAATCACAACAGGGGGTCATCAAACAAAACAATGCAAGTCACTCCCCAGCATCTTGGTGTCAATGACAGTATTAGGTTAAGATTTTATAATTGAATTACCTGCCTGACATTAAGACGCTATTGTATAGCTATTATACAAAAACATAAACTAATTGCCTTCCCTTCTGTTTTACCATTGTACAAAAGTCAACAATGGCATAGTAAAAATAACTTCAGCAGACAAAAGGGGTCTTTGGAACAATGGTAAAACAACAAGGAAAGGGGGAGGAGAATGCCTAACAAACAAATACTTTATATACACCTGGTACATATAATGGGCACAGGGTAACTAAAAGACCCGAAAAAAATAATATTTTTGTTCTGTATTTACAGATGAAAATGGAGGAAAGGGACCTTAGTTAGGAAAAATGACAAATTAGATATTTGTTACATGAGTTTTACAGAGGAAGAGGTTCTTTTTCAACTGTCAAAAGTAAAGACAGACCACTAAAATATCTTAGTGGTGTACTAGCAAAACCATTAATGGATTTATTTAACCAATCATTGTTAACAGGAGTAGTCCCAGAAGATTGGAAGTTAGCGAATGTTGTGCCTATTCACAGGAAAGGTAGTAGGGAGGAGTCGGGCAACTACAGACCAGTAAGCCTTACTTCAGTAGTGGGGAAAGTAATGGAAACCATGTTAAAGGATAGGATTGTTGAGCATCTAAAATTACATGGATTTCAAGATCAGAGACAACATAGGTTCACTTCAGGGAAGTCATGCCAAACTAATCTTATTGATTTTTTCTGATTGGGTAAATAGATCAGGGTGGTGCAGTAGACATTGCTTACCTAGATTTCAGTAAGGCTTTTGACACTGTCGCACATAGAAGGCTCATCAATAAACTGCAATCTTTAAGTTTGGATTCCAATATTGTTGAATGGGTAAGGCAGTGGGTGAGTGACAGGCAACAGAGGGTTGTAGTCAATTAAGTATATTCAAAGCATGGCCTTCTCACCAGTGGGGTACGTCAGGGATCTGTCCTTGGACCCATTCTCTTTAATATTTTTATTAGTGATATTGCAGAAGGTCTTGTATGTTTTTTTTGCTGATGATACAAAAATATATAACAGGGTTGATGTTCAAGGAGGGATAAGCCAAATGGCAAATGATTTAGGTAAACTAGAAAAATGGTCAGAGTTGTGGCATCTGACATTTAATGTGGATAAGTGCAAGATCATGCACCTTGGACGTAAAAACCCAGGGGCAGAGTACAGAATATTTGATAGAGTCCTAACCTCAACATCTGAGGAAAGGGATTTAGGGGTGATTATTTCTGATGACTTAAAGGTAGACAGACAATGTAATAGAGCAGCAGGACATGCTAGCATAATGCTTTGTTGTATAGGGAGAGGTATTACCTACCCTTTTACCCTGTCCACTGAAAAATGCTGTCAAGGTCTATGGATTTGCTTAAAAGGTGAAAGTGAGAGATTAGCATAGGGTATGTGTTTTATTATAGCTGCATCCTGTGAGTTTCCCCCTGGCACCGCTTTCACCAGATACATAACCCTTGGGAGGTATAACTGTTTTAGTGTTTTCTGCCAATAAGATTTTGTAATTAGGCTCATCATAATTGTCAGCACCAGGCCCAATGGGCTCTTAGTCTGACACTGATTATCACTGGCAGTAGCACGTGCCTTGCTGCTTGCTCCAAAGCTGCCCTATAATAAGCCCAGACAATGGTAATTTGGGAATGCTGAATGCCAACCTGACATGCTTTTGAATTAACACTGAATTCTAACCAAATGTCATACTTTATAAATCTGAAACCATTGGTCACTTTTGATTTTAAGATTTCTTGTTGGATAAATAAGCTGTTACACCACATATTACTTATTATATCCTTAAAGGGACACTCTAAGCACCAGAGCAACTTTGGCTTAATGAAGCAGTTTTAGTGCATAAGTCGTGCCCCTGCAGTCTCACTGTTCAATTCTCTCCCATTTAAGAGTTAAGTCACGTTTGTTTCTGTGACAGAGCAGGAAATACCAAATTCTAAATTAAACAGACTGTGCAATAAAGGAAGTTTAAATGTTAAATCTCTCTTTACAGGAAGTGCATAGGAAGATGTGTATGGAGTTGTGACTAGGGCCGTGTAAACAGTGATTTAACAACTAAATGGCAGATATTTCAGCAGTTAGACTACAGGGACATGATCCATACACAAAAAGTGCTTCATTAAGCTAAAGTTGTTTTGGTGCCTATAATGCCTATAGAGATCTCTTTTCATCCCAGTAAGTGAAACCTGCTTTCTAAATAGGTGACTTCTTGTCCTTTGTGCAGTTCTATTAATGAAGAAGTTTCCAGAGAGCTGTTTGTACTAGCCCTGTTTATATTTATATAATGTTATCATATCACCCCTAAAGTAAACACGTTTAAGTTTTATTGTCTTTCTTCAAAACAAAATTTTTCCATGCTTTTTGATTTTGTAGCAATTGTACTGCGTATTCAGTGTGGCTCATATATGGCAAAAACAACATAAACCTAAGGTTATCAGTTCCGCAGGTAGGTTCCTATTTGCTACCTGATCTTTAATAAAGACAGTCTATTGGTGGAAGCTGCTACTAAGGCTTTGCTTTTTAAATATAACACAAAAATGCAGAACTAGGAGGCTCGTCAAACATTTCCGTCAAAGGGTTTGTCGTGCTGCCACATGAGATAACCCAAACCAAGGCTCAGTAAATCAGTAGATAATTTCTTAATCCATAGTATGATCAGTCAGGAAGAAATGAGATGATAATTTGTAGTGAATGGAATCCTGTGTTAGGAAACTTCTGTAATAAGTCCATTGCCATGCTTCTACCTTGGAGGAAGTATGCGTAAGAAGATTGGACTTGGAGTAACGCCTTTGGTTTCATGATACCACAGTTCCTGTTTATCATGGTATTTATTTTAGTAGCATATTTAATAGCATATATTAACCTATATTATAAATGCATTGCATCTGTATGAAGGTAGTGAAACTATGGAGAACCCAGGATCATTACATTCACTAAGATTACCTAGGGACAATTATCCAACATATCGATTCAATAGCAGTTTGGGGACTAAGTTGCATTGGTATGGTGGATTATGATGGGCAATGGCCAATTGGACGTCTGCTTTATACACTACATAGTAAAAATTCACAGTCAATAAGAAATGCACAACATATTGCTATGCATGGTATTTAGATCAATTTATTTAATACAGTTGTGGCATACTGTGCAAAAAAACTCTACTAATATTTATTTGTTTAGTTATGTTAATGGACTGTAACTGCTGAAACGTAAAAAACGATTGCCTTTGCAATCAACATGATTTTATTGATTGTTCCAATATCACTGCACATTAACAAATCAAGAGATGGATTGTATAGATACCATTTGTTGTGTAATGAATTAATATGTATCAGATAAAATATTGCTCAGATAAAAGGACAAGCGTAGAGGCATAAGAGTATAAAACATAAAAAGGAATAATTTGCAGTCAGTCCATCACTAGAAGTCTTTTTTGAAAAGTTGTTCCAAAGTCTGTTTAGATTTCTGATAACCTGAAAGAAAAAAATGTTTAAATAGTTTAAATATTGGCGAAATGGTTATCTTGTGTATTTGATATTTATTTGCATTATTCTCAAATCTAAAAACCTCTATGAAAAAAGAAAAAATTGTGATGGATGCCATCTACCCATCTAAAGTTTCAGAAAAGACCATATCACTTTCCTTGGCTCTCTCAACCTTTCCCTCCATGTAGTCCAATAGAACACCCCCACACACACACACACACACTGTGCCCACTAGCAGCCAGGAAAAGCAGGAATAACCCAATGCCTTCAGCGGGACCTAACCATGTTTCTTCTTCTAGATCTCCAGCTTGGCCGCAAGCATCATCTCGTCCTGGTTGAGTTGTCCCACTGTTTTGACCCTCTTACCAGAGGGCTAGGAGAGCACAGAGGTACAGGGCATCCCTAGAAACAATCACTCCCTAAGAGCCATGGGGAATCCCCCTTCTTCATCCTACAGGAGCCCCCTGTAAAATGACCGGGACTTGGTGCAACCGGTCTGGAACTATTTTCAGGCAGGACCTTCATAGCGGCCAGTCCAAACTTTGACTGCATGGCGTTTTCACAATTCCCCATGGATCAGAGTCCTACTTACCCAGATTGGTTTGCTCCAACTCAGGCTATTTGGAGATGTATTATGGTATTATGTGTGGGGGTTCGGGCTTGTTATGTTGTGATTTTAGGGGATATTGTATTTTGGGCTTCTCTGTGCCTGGGAGATAATTAGAAATAAATGGTGGCTGTTGCAACCCTCTCCCAAACACAGAGATGCCAAGGTGGGATCAGCTATCCTTTTACTGGAGACCCCTTTCTTGGGGTCTTTGTATATAAACCTGCATTGTTCTCAGTAAAAACAGTTGTTCTCCTCAACATTATGTGTTGTTTAATGTCTGGAGATAGGTGCTATAAACAATAAAAGGTTCTTCTTCCAGCTAAGAGGGAATTGCAGCAGAGATATGCATTTGAGATATAGGACTATAATAACATATACAGGTTTTTATTAGTTGCAGCATTAAGTGCAGAACACTTTTTAGGATTATTTTCTAGCCAGAAATTTTGAGAACCTGACCAGTGAATTTAACATTTTAGATATTTGGGGACTTTTTTTCCATTCAGCAAATTTTTTCCTTGTCAGTTCCTCACAATTCCTAGTTCATTGAGCAAACCTGATATAAGTTTATTCAGATACTCTTTATAATGCCGTTCAATTACAGTAGCACTCAAACAATATATGAAATTTTGCCCTTTTGTGATGACAGATTTATACTATGTGTCCCCATGACTTATAAACTTTGTGACAGCGGCCATACAGTATACATCAGATGTTTAAATGCCCCCAAATTGCAAAGTCTCACAGGGTGAAGGGTGTCCTACTGGGGCGGCCTATGCATATTGTCACTTTGGCACCATGCAAAGTGCCCAGATACCATTTTCCATAGCAAATCATTGGTGGCAAGGTTGATACATACTGATCACAGCTTGCAAATAGGCATTGGAGGATGTCACAGTTCTCACACAGTCTGGCAATACATTGAGTAAATTGATAACTGTGAACTGATAACATTACCATGTAAGATCATTAGAGCGATTGGATTTCTTAACCCAAGCTGTAGGGCAGGAGGTAGTCTCTTTACCTGCTACATATCAGGAGAGGCATGCAGCAGGCTATTTGTGGATGCCTTACATGTTAGGCAGTCGGGCAATAGACCTAAATTGTCTCTCAGGCTCTGTGATTGCCATAAGAGCCAATCATAGAGATTCATGCCTTGCCGCTGTGTTATCTCTGTGGCTTACTTTCATAGCCATCACTCAGCCTAAACTTCCAGTTTAGGGTTAGCGTTAGCAAGGGTTAGAATTATCTAGAGTTAGTTAGGGTATGGGTTAATTATCATTAGTTAGAGTTATACTTAGTTAGAGTTCTAGGGTAGACTGGAATGAATGCGAACTCCAAGGTCATTAGATAATTTACCAGTTTTGGGCCTCTCCCTTCACTCTTATCATAGCAATGTTGAAGCTTGCCCAAGTATATTCATGTTGCCAATGGACTCTAGGTGGCTGCCTTATGAATAATTCAGCTATAGCTCGTGCAAGAATTGTTTGATAATGAAATAGTCATAGGTTTGTAATTAGGGATTAAAAGGAAATTCTGTTCACCAAAATCACTTGAGTGCGTTGTAGCGATTTCGACAACCAGAGTTGCTGTGCGTTCCTGACGATAATCTGTCAAACTGTGTGCCGACAGTCTGTTACCTTGCTGTGTTGTGTGCCTGTGATCCTTCCGGTCTCACTTGATAAATTTGAAGTTTATATTTTCATATTGTTGTACCAATTCTTTCCAGGTTTAAACATAATCACCTGCTGAGTATGTCAGTATGAATACTGTTTAAATCCAGAATGAGTTGGTTTGATAATGAGGAAGTATGAACTTCCATTTTATTAGACCAATTCAGACAGAAAGGACTGTGGTCCCCTGACACAGCAAAGTAACTGTTAAATCTTAAATTCTGTGGTACGTTACTGGTAGATGGCGTCTTGGGGCCCCTGTCACCATAACTACTTTAGTACACTACAGTAGTTATGTAGCCTAAAGTATCCCATTAAGGTTAGCATTTGTGTTAGAATCAATGTTAGAGTAACGGTTTAGGGTTAGAATGACATTTACTGTTAAAATAAAATAACATTTACAAATAATTATACAGGTTTTTTTTTTTTATCACAGGTTGTCCTCACTTACCGACCGGGTTCTGTTCTTACAACCCAGTCGTAAAGCAAATTGGTCAGTAAGTTAGGATGCGCTAGCAAGGGTGTGCAAAAGAGAATTCCCCCGAACATAGACCAGTTTACTGGCACAGGGAATCCTGTGAATCTATGTTTGGGCAAAAGTCCCTGAACATAGACCAGCTCTAATGTGTGGAATCCCTTAAATTTCCATGCTAGAGAGCTGGTCGTAAGTGTGAGCCAATGTAAAACAGGTAGGTCCTTAAGTGAGGACCACCTGTATACCGAATTGTTTCTTTTGCTGCTGAGACATATCAGGTATGTCAAAATCAGGGCATGTCTCTAATTTGACACACTTTAGAACTGTGAGATTCACTGTTTGCTCCTAACTCTGGCTGTAATTGGCATTGAAATGACTACACATTGAGATTTTTTAAGTATTTGAGATTCCAATGTGTGTAAACAGGTGGTGCTTAAGTGTGGGACTACCCATATGTATACCGAATTTTTGTTTAATCTTTTGCCTGCTCACAAAACTAAAACTCGGACATATCAGGTATGCATCATGTCTCTGTTGTCCATTTCTGTCATTGCGACTCCCTTTGCCCTAACTCTGGCCAAGGTTCCAACACCTGAGCAAATGCTCTCCCATGTTTCCACCTCTTATAACCTCCGTTCAGTACCATTTGATTTAGAAAGTAATTCTTTTCCCAGAGCACCGCAATTGGAGACCTCCCCACCTTTTATAGAAGTAGAAAAGTGGATCACAGAGACTCTTCTCTTACCACAAAAAAATACACCTGATCTTTGAACAGTACCCTGTTCTACAAATTGTAATTCTTGTGTATTATATTGTTTTTGTATTTTACTGAATTGTATCTTTGGAATACTTTGTGGACCCAGTTATACTGAAAATTTGAGGCCTTCCATAGAAAAACTCAGATCAATAATATTTTCCAAAATAGGTGCAAAAGATATAGTTTGTCCAAACTGATTAATGCCAATAATTTCGCCTTGGGGATGTAGTATATGCTAAAATATAAGTGACTTGCACTGCAGACCCACCTTAATTAACTTAATACATTGTATAACTTGTTCTACCGATTTGTGCTACAATGTAATTACAGACCATTGTGACATGCTTAAATAACTAAACTGGCTGTCGCTGGAATAGACACTTAGAGTCTTTTTAAGCCTTGTGCTTAATAAAACAATCTAAACCTAAGCAGAATGCTCTCCCGGCTGTTTCCACCTCCTATAATGAACATATCTAGTAGTTCTATAATAAGCATGTTTTCCTTCAGAGCACCGGTATACGAATCCTGTTGTAGAGACCTAGTATAGCTAGGCACCTGCGAATCTTGGGCAATGATCCAATTCCTTTACAAAGATCCCAGATACTACATTATCTCCAAAAGAGAATTCTACCATTCATCTGTGTATATATATTCACGAACGGTAGAGCCAGTTCTTAACACACAACGTCTTTGTATTCTTTGTCCCGAACACGAGGTGGCGGCAATGTTTTATGTCGGGGAATAGGCGAGCGGGACCTGGCACCAAAAATGTTGGATGGAAAAACGGGTAATCTGTGATGCGAAGACCGCTCCAGGGATGGTTGTCTCAGCCCTTCGTGGACAGAACGCAGACCACCTTGAATGAGCAATTAGCCTGCGGTTAACCACAGCCCCAACGTTCTAATTGGGGACTCATGCCGAAGTACAGGGAGGTCCTCATTCGGGAGCTTGAGTGCGGAAAAGTAGTATACGAACAAGGCCACCCTGGGGCCCATCAATTACGTTTGTGGTTAACCGCAAACCGCAGGTTCCTGGTGGCCGGCCGTTCGGTTGTTTGGAAGGTGAAAAAGGTTAATGCACATGCCAGGGCCTGTGTGGTTTTACTTCGTATGTACGAATATAAGATCCTGATGGTTCGTGTATGGAATTTATACAACAAGGGTACCGAAGGGAACGGCATTCGGTAACATAAAATTGAGAGAACCAGGGCTGGTCTGTAGGGCGTCTGTAACAACATAGTATGATAAATGTTTGGAGCATTAAACAAAAAATGCAAGAACTACACCCTGTTCCAATTATTATACAAATTCTGTCACAAGGATTAAATATTTTGTTTTTCAATTTAACTCATGGAAGGCATTGTGTCTCAGGACTCTTTTGATCACTGAAAACAATCTTGGACACCTGTGATAATTAGTTTGCCAGGTGAGCCCAATTTAAGGAAAAACTACTAAAGAAGGGTGTTCCACATTATTAAGTAGAGCACCATTTTCATGCAATATGGGGAAGAAAAATTATCTCTCTGCTGCCGAAAACAGTGAAATAGTTCAATGCCTTGGACGAGGTATGAAAACATTAGATATTTCACAAAAACTTAAGCGTGATCATCGGACTATTAAGAGATTTGTGTCTAATTCAGAGCACAGACGGGTTCGTGCAGATAAAGGCACATTGAGGAAGATTTCTGCCAGATACATGCATCAGATCAAGAGAGCAGCTGCTAAAATACCATTACATAGCAGCAAACAGATATTTGAAGCTGCTGGTGCCTCTGGAGTCCCACGGACATCAAGGTGTAGAGTCCTCCAGAGTCTTGCAACTGTGCATAAACCTTCTATTTGGCCACCACTAACCAATGCTCACAAGCAGAAACGGCTACATTGGGGAGAAAAATACACAAAGACTAATTTTCAAACAGTCCTGTTCACTGATGAGTGCCGTGCAACCCTGGATGGAGTAGTGGATGGTTGGTGGACGGCCACCCTGTTCCAACAAGGCTTTGACATCATGTGGAGTCATGTTTTGGGCCGGAATCATGTGAAGAGAGCTGGTCGGCCCCTTTAGGGTCCCCGAAGGTGTAAAGATGACCTCTGCAAAGTATGTGGAGTTTCTGACTGACTACTTTCTTCCCTGGTACAGAAGGAAGAACTATGCTTTCGGTAATAAAATCATCTTCATGCATGACAATGCACCATCTCATGCTGTTATGGGCAAATGCAAATATTAGAAGTTTTAGAATGAAATGTTGTATTTCTTAAACTGTGTACTTTGTCTTTAAGAGATATTGCAAACTGACAAGGTGTTAGAAATGGAACATATTGTTTTTCATAACTGTTTCTTTAAGCAATAACCTCTTTCCTACCTTCAGTGCATAATATGTTTGCGCCATTTTGTCCCAGACGAATTACAATAACAATAATGCATAAACAAGCTTCAAGGCTATCCTATGACTCTTTCAGTACACAATATACTGTGGTAACCCTAAGTAGATAAGGATGTTCAGACTTTAAGATGTCATCTTGAACTAAGTCAGTAAAATTTCAATGACGTATACACCCTTTAGTTATGGACTTGTATTTTTGCCAAGTTAAGGGAGGTCCTAAAATGAATAAAGTAAAAGAAGTGTTACTTTTTCATATATGAACTACGGTAACCCTAAAATGGAGACACCTAAGGTATAAATAGGTGTTCTTTTAAATGTTAAGACACAGAGGAGAGACTTGGAGACAGACGCTGCTCAATCTTAAAATGACAGCGAGGATTACATGTTCAGAAGGGTATGTTAACCTATTAATGATATTTGCAAGCATTTAGTTTAATCTTATAAACTCTGCTATAATGGATTTTATATGTCTTTATATGTCTATAATAAATATCTAAAAGACAAAACTTTATTGCTTCCAAGACAATCCTTATTTTATATTGTATTCTCAATTATTTATTTATGTTAAATAGAGGATCTCTTACACTAACTATATAAAATGATGGCTAAGAAATCTGTATGGTTAGCCCTGCTAAGTTCTATGCTTTAGGATGTTATAGTGGTAAATAAGCGAACCAGCCGCAGTTACAATTGGTGACCACGAAGGGACATTGTACTTGGAAGCTTTAATTATAAAATAATAAATACCTAGGTAACCTCTTATACATAAGAGAAGACACAATACTTTGTCATGGCACAAGTCTTGAAATATCAATAATCTATTGAGCTATTTGCAGTCCAGACTCAGAGAGAGATCTTCATCATTAGAGATGATTTTAATGTGAACTTGTGCAAGGCACTTTGAGTTCAGGTGCCAGGTACATTGTAATTAGCATACAATGCTGAAATTGTAGATCTTAATATCATAAGAGAACAAATATACATATTTGGTAAACTCCCTGATATGCCTAATACACCAGCATAGCATGGTCCATTAGTTCCACAACAGTGGATTGCAGGCAGGGGGATATGTTCTCTTTGTTTAGTATGCATGCGCAGGAAAAAGATTAATGCAAAATGTTGTCAAAAGAAAAGTGATAAGACAGAGCGATGAAAGACTTGCTATTATATTACTAATAGATTTCGAAGTCGAATTCCAAGAATGCAAAGAAAATTGCATTATGGCTTAAGAATTATGGCTTAAGAATTTTTACTTATTACTTAATAAAGTTTTATAAAACAGTGATAACTTCCATATTGTCAGTTACGCTAGCTGTTGATTGAAAATCAGGAATTATAACAGTATAACTATTTTTGGAGCCTGGAGTTTCCAGCCAAGGTTGCGAAGATACAGAGACATGTAAACATTCCAAGGAATTGAGAAGTCATTGTTTTATATTCTAAATTATGAACAACATTTTTTACATACAGCCATAAAGAGAAAGACATGGCTTTTTAAAAAAATAATTGCAGTACAATGCAGTACACTGCAGCATATATTTTATATACTATATGCTAACTAGCTTATATTTTTCCTAAACAGAGTTGAAATTATACTACCCTCCTAAAAGATCTGTTAATATCAATTAATATAACAGAAGGGCAAGAGGTTGTTATACATCCTTTGCTTCTCTAAATGCTTTGCAAAAATAAATATTTGTAAAATAAATAATAATAATATATATGTAAGATAAATCAGGGCAAAATAAAATTGTAAATATATAGGATCTGTGATAACTTTTTTTTTTTATTTGTATTTTATTGGAGTTTTGAGGCTCAAAATACAACATTGTCATAGTATGTATAAATATTAACAACTTCTTGTCTGTATCAACAGTTCTGAAACAACTTTTCTGAAACTTCACCTAGACAGTGTCTAG